GGCATACGTCAGGGGCCGTTGGAATTGCATGACATTAAGGTCCTTGGAGAGCAGGCCTTCGTGTTCTGAGTTTCCATAGGCCCCTCCAACAGCCCCGCCCAGAGACCCCTCACCGAGACCCCTCACCATATCACATCTGATTTTAATACAGCTGAAGGTCCCCCAGTGGCCCTCATTTTCTGAAGGATAACCATAAATCGTATCCAGATATGAAGTCCCCCTGAGTGTTCTCGGCCTTCCTCTCTGCCCTGTCCCCTGCCACTGCCCATCACGGCCACAGACTTCCAGGGACTGGCTGACCCTCTGCATCATAAGCCCTCCCTGCCTCCTCTCCCTCCCTCTGAAAGGTCCGATCACCCAGGCAGAGAGAGCGCGCCCTGTTCCACGCTCAATGCTAGTGTGACTGCCCTCTGACCCAGAAACCCTTGAGGGCAGGCCCCCTGCTTCCTCTCCTGTCATACAGCGCTGGCCAGAGCTGGCACACAAGGGCCCTCCCAAAGCTCCAAGTCACCTGACAGCCCAGAGCGACGCGCCTCAGAGAAGAGTAACTCATGGCCACTAGGGGGCGATAAATACTAAAAAATGGCAGAGGTCACTGCACTGGTGACCTGGCCCTTTTCTCCCTCTGGGGGACACGTCTAAATCATATCCAGGTATAAAATGGGTGGAAAAAGATCATTTCCTGAGCAGGAATTTCTAGGGGTACCTTGAACCTGGTTGTCTTCATTGCTCACTCCATCCTGGGGAGTTCCTGGGCAGCACCCACCCTCCCCCCAGACATTCAGAGGGCCATGCAGAGCGGGCAGTGCCGGGGCAGGTACCCACAGGGTCCACCCTGGTGGCAGAGGGCTGCGGGGACCCCGAAGGCAGCTCCAGCCTCAGCTCCAGCTCACACTGTTCCCCTTTCTGCGTAACACCCCGGGACCCTGTTGCACACGGCTCATCTCAGGAGACCTATTCTCACCTCCACACGGTCCGTGAAGGTCTTCTGGTGACTCCAGCCCACAGGGCTAGTCTGAGGCCCCTTCCCAACCCCAGAGCACACTCTCCTCTCTCCCTCTCTCTCAGCAATTTGAGTATATTCAGCTTTCTCCCCTCCTTACAATCCCAGAGACATCATGGCCCCAGGATGCTTCACGCTGCTTCAAGGTCACCCCAGGTCTCCGCCTCCCAACCAGCCCACCACTCTGAGTGCCCCTTCCTCCTCCACTTCTTGCAAATGCCCTTGCCCTGTGTGGTTTGCTGCAACTTCAGCCACTCGGCAAGCTAGAGTGGACAGCCTTCACCGAGCACCTGGTGGAAATGAAAGAAAGGGAGGCCCAGAGACAGCCAGGACCCCTCCAAGAGTCCATGAGGCCACACCACCCTCATCTCTGGTCGGCGGACTCCTAGGGGTTGGGCTGCGGCAGACTCACCTGCAGAGCTTGTCATAAACACAGGGACAAGGGCCCTCGCTCGGCTCACAGGCAGTGGCTGTATCTGTGGTCCTGCTACTGTCCCT